TTCTACCCCCCCCTGCGAAGACCATTTCATCTGCAATTGTGGACTCTTTGTTGGAGGCAAGTTGAAAAAGGTTAGGAAATAGGTCCCTAAGGGGAGCATGTCCAATCCACAGATCCGACCAGAAGCAAACTCTGTTGCCTTGTTTTTGATGGAATCGAAGCAATTTCTTGAACTGAGCAAAGGAGGATGCAAAAGATCTCCAGGCTCCTAAAGCCCTGCTTCTTGCTAGCCTTTCAGGCACACACATGTGATCCGGAATGTTATATTTATTCTGAATAACCTGTGCCCAGAAAGAGTTTGGTTGAGTGGTCAATCTCCACCACCACTTCCCCAACAAAGCCAGGTTATGCTTTCTTAAATCTATGACTCCTAAACCACCTTGGACTTTGGGCAGTCGCACTCTATCCCAAGATATTAGGTGATGTCTCATTTTTCCAGCTTGGCCTGACCATAGAAAGTTCCTCATGAGTTGGTCCAACCTATTAGCCACCGAAGCTGGCATATGAAAGATGGACATTAGGTAAATGGGGGAGTTAGCCAATGTAGCCCTAACCAAAATAGACCGACCTGCCAAGGATAAGAACCTTCCTTTCCATCCAGCTAGACGCTTGGCACTTGGGTCCAGTGTCTCTTTTTTGGTTTCCCTAAGCCTAGAGGTATTCCCAAATAGGTGGTGGGGAGATCCTCAACTATACAATCCCAGGATGGAATCAGGGATCTGATTTCTTGGAGTGTAAGACCCACTCCCATCATCTTTGATATTTCCAAATTTTCTTTAAAAGCCAGTGGCACTTTCAAAGCATTGAGGAAAAGTCTAAGGTTCTCTATTTGTTGAGAAACCGCTTCTAGGAAGACTAAGGTACAATCTGTGTATTGCAGATGTGATACCAAAGGTCCTTGTGAATTGCAACAGAAAGCTGAGAGCAGTCCTTCTTGGTAGAGACGAGAGATAGACTTGCTGAAAATTTCAGCTACTAATGTAAAAAGAAAGGGAGATAGCAGATCCCCTTGAAGGAGCCCTCTCGAAGCACCAAAAAAATCCTTTAGGACTTCCATTAATAAGGACCGAGAAATGGGGGGTGGAAATGGACCAAGAAATCCTTTAGGACTTCCATTAATAAGGACCGAGAAATGGAGCCCAGATTCTTTTACCCCAAGTACGCATGAGGTATCGAGAGTTCACGTGTTGAGAAAGCAATTTCTCAAGGAGGTGTTCTCCTAGTCAGGATTTTATAGGTTAGCCTCATGTTTAGCTACGATCGGCCAAGGCTTGGAGAATCCAAACGAGAAAAATGGAACCTGAGTACCTATTGAGTACTCGCCCTGCATGAAATCGTCAAGACTTATGGGACATAAGTCTGTATCATAACGCGAGACCGTTACATGGCATGTGTATTTTCATTTCGTACGGGAAGCCACTCAGTCAAAAGCATTATCCGAGTTTGAAAGAGCTAGTGCACATGTGCTTTGAGACGACCCTTGTAATTGAGTTAGATCATGTCCCACAGGGGTACACCTGTAATACATTGAGAGTCGGATGATCGAAAGTTCTGGCTCAGTGGCTTTGATATGGCCAATTATGTGTCCCTACTTTAGACCGTGGAACATAGGTCTATTGGGCCAATCTCAGACTCGGGATTAGCCCAATGGAGTACTTCGATACCTACAGTTATTAGTCTGAGATCGCACTATACCTTTGTTCGATTTGATAATGATGAGAAAAACCTAATAATTGATCGAAAATACTTTAAATATTTATTGTTAATTTAGAGAATTTTTCAGAATTTTATTTGCTAAAAAAAAAGAGGTTTTTTGAATTGTTTACTCAAATTCCACTTTAGTCCTGACCTGGTAGTACTATGTGGCATCCGAGTGGCTATAGGGCTGCCACGTAGCACCCCACGCCTCACTCTAGGATCACCGCCTAGCTGAGCGCTGATCCCTAGACGGGGGAGACCAGATTGGCATTTGGTTGCGTGTTTTATAAGGGGTTGTGTTATGGTGCCTTGTTATATATTATTATTCTTTGTTTTATAATGTTATAACTTAAGGCCCCTTTTTATCACATATCTTAATTAACTCACACATGAGCCATGCATAACATGTGTGAAGTTTAATTAATTTATTTATTTGATCTTAAAGACAATGGATTTTCAAATTTGAGTTGAAAAATATCTTTACATACATGTGTGAAGGGGACATTATCTTTAAATTGATTGGTTTGAAATTTTAGATCTACAAAGTGATTGGCTTTGATAAAGTAGAATATACATGTGTGAGCTTTGCCGATTACTGCTTTGTCATTTATCCTTAGTGGTTATCTACTCTAATACATTATTAAAAAAAACTAAGGGTGTTTTTTGTAAGGGCACATTGGATGCAATTGGAATAAAAATATGGGTCAATAACAAAATGGTAAAGTAGCATAACTTAGGGTTATGGTGAGTGATAATGGTATGAAATCCCATCCCTTCATCCTAGTGGTTGGATGGGGATGAGTAGCTAGGTACATTAGCCTCTCATGTGCATCAAGGGTGTCGATTGAGTCCAAGGTTACACCCATGTTATAAAAGCACATCATGAGATCTCAAACCCTAACTATCTCAACTCTTGAACCATTTTGGAAAATTTGTACCCCCCTCCTCTTTTTCTAGAGCTTTGTGAGAGAAAATTGAAGAGAGAGAGACTCCACGTTTTTTTTTAAAAAACGCTTTTAAAGTTCCTTTGATGGTGATCTTGATGCTCTTTTCTTATGCTTAAGTCTATAGTGTACATTTATTAAGGTAAACTCCATTGAATTTTTTTCTCATAAGTTCATATTCTTGGCATCTATAGTTGCTAGAATTTTGAACTTACAAAAGTTTCATTGATCTTAGAATTTCCATTTGATCATCTTTTTCATCATGTTGATTCATAGTGTGGTCCTTCATGAGTTATAGCTTATATACATGAGAATCCATGATCATGCATAGTATCCATTGATTACTTTGCTTCAAATCCATCAACTACTTTAGTCTCAGTGTGTCACTGAATTTTCAGAAGTTTTTCATCACGTTTTTACCAATGGGGGGTCATAACCTTTGCATACAAGACTGTTTTGGTGGTCTGAGGGACCACCGTGTGTAGTTTGATCATAACTCTCTTATTCTTTATCCGATTCAATTCAATCCCTTTGCATTCTGTTTTAGATGATAATGCCAGTGTATTGAGATCTTAAGAAGTGATTTTAAGATGTGTAATTGCTTCCCATTTGGATTAGACACTCTTGTGAGATTGAACCACTTTTGTACAATCCGAAAGGACAAAATTAAGTCCTTATAGGGCCCGATTGCATGCCCCCGACAAAAGGGGTTCGAAACATGGCTTCCCGATTTTAATTTGGCATTCTAATTCCTTGCTTAGTTGATTTTATTCCTTAGAATTATGTTTAGATTAGTTGTAGGTTGTATTTAAGCTTTGAGACATAGTTTATGTAATTTGTGCTATGAAAGTGTAATTCATAAGCTAGTCTTGCTTTATATGTAATTGCCCTATAAGGGGTTGGTATTTGAGTTTATTTACAGTGATTTTACAATGCTAGAAATGGTTGTAACTGTTATTTAAAGGATTGTAATTTATTCACTTAGCTTGGTTTTAAGCAAGTGGCTTATTGAAGGTGGGCATTTTGCCTTGTTTTTCGGCTTAAAATTTGCTCTAGTCATTGTATCCACTATCACCATCCACCAAAACCATGTGGTGGGGTGCAATTTATCGGAGTGCACCATCTGCCAGAACTACACACACGGTAACCGACTGAAGGTTAGGTCCTCACCAGATGGTATAAACCACCGTAGGTCATCTTCTGTAAGCATTGTGTATAGCGAGAAAGAATATACAAGCCACAAGCCCGACCCGCACACGTGCTCGGTCGAGGGGCGCCTCATGTGCTGATGCGAGCGTACGAAATGCACTGTACGCCATCAAGCACCCTTGCACCCTCGCCCTCACACACGCACGTGCGCGTGCAGGATCGTGTTTGCACAAGAGATAACCCTCTAGAAACACTCAAGGGTAGAGCCTATGCCCAAGTGAAGTGTTTTGAACATGACCCTAGCCATAGACTACCTAACCCTAGATCAGTCAAGAAACAAATACTCCCACTAAAATGCACAATAAACTATATTAATTAATTTTTACATGCTCTCATGGTCTTTAAAGACCACAAAATTAGTCATTGGAGAGAATAGGGGAAAACGTTGTGGGTTCAAAGTTCCATAACAGCACATTTCTTTTAACAGAAAAAAAAAAGAAAGAAAATAAAACACATTGTTGATCAAGGACACATAAATGGCATCAGCTCAATAGAGAATTACAGCTTGGCATCCAACTAACAACATTTTTCATGAAATGTTTTAGCATTGTATAGGCCAAGAAATAGTATTGACACACATCTGGTCGGAATAAAATGCGCTGGTAGATTCTCTTGTCACAGAAAAAGTACAGAGGAAAAAAATCCTCATCCTCCATACAGCCACCTAGAACTTCATCCAGTGGAGCGGTTATTTATAGTTACCTGAATACAACCTAGTCCATTTTTATACACATACACGATAGAGATATATGATAAAAGCAGTAATTTTTAATCAAAGAAAAAAAAGTATAATGCATTTGTGCTGACAGGTTATAAATAATTTAGGGGATTGCAATTTGCACCCACACCTACGTATAGGAACAACTGTTCTTATTGTTTTCTCCCAAAACCTTGGAGGGGCATATGACAAACATAAGCAGGGCCCAAATTCCACCATGTATATGGGTGTTTATAAGAGAGATATCAGTAAAAAGAGCAATTCCATAAAATAAATAAATAAAGATTTATAACATGTAAACAATGTAACTTACACCATCACCTAGGCAGTAAATGAAACTGAACAATTCCATAAAATAAATAAATAAACATTTATAACATATAAACAATGAAACTTACACCATTACCTAGACAGTAAATGAAAGGGTGATACCTGTAATATTTGGCTTTTAGCCTTTGGTGTCAGTAAAAATGGAACCTATAAATAGGAAAAACAAAAGGAAATCATTCAATCTAACCAAGAACATTCAAGGCCATAACGCAACCACCAAGAAAGATACAAAAAATCTTGCAACAAAACAAAGCATTCAAAATTTTAAACTGATTAGTTCCACTCCCTCACAACACAAGTGAATATGAAAAGGCAATAAGAGGTGCATGAGTTAACCCAGTTATGATCATTAATGGTTCATTTTAAGAGGTATCAACTAATAAAGAAAGTAGCCTAAACACAACTAAGGGTGTATTCCGTATTGACATAAGACAAATAAAGAATCAAACACCATGCTAAAAACATCCTAACTAACCAAAAATAGTAATTGGGGTCCCAACACAACCATTTGACTAGATCTTATTAATTTATTACTTAAAATATGGAGTGCGGCACTCTCCAAGGTTCAGATTGATCAAAGGATTTTACAGAAATCACAGTTTCAGGATTCGGTTTATATTGTCTAAAATAAACCCATTAATCAAAAACTTAATACCTAAGTTTTCCAGTGTGAAAAAATTAATTCTAGCACAATAATTGCCTATTTATTGCATGATAGTTTAATAATAAATCTTTTGTTTCATAAGATTCCCAGGGTGTAAAATTAAAACTTCCCTCATTTTCTTCGATTACAACTGGGTAATTCTACTTACAACGCCAAATTACACAAGAACCTACACATCTTAACTCTTACTGCCTCAAAAGTAAAAAAGCTTTATTAAAATACTGAATTCAATTACAAGTAGAATTCAAAGTCAAATAGGAATCCTAATTCAAATAGATATCCTAAACTAAGAATTAAAACAACAAATAAATGAGAAAAACTAGGAAGCCTAATATGAACTTGTAAGACTTAGCACAACCCACACCGAATTACCAGACCGCTGGCGTACTCATCCCTGGCCTACTTGAGTCCTCCAAATCTGAGAAGCAACTATAGCAATACACTCTCACAAAACTGTGGCAGAGAGCATGAACAAACTAGGGTTGAAAAACCCTTAAAACTGAAACCACCACAGAAAAATTGGTTAGGCATGCCTCCTCTCAAGCTAGCCAGGGTGGCGTGCCACCACCTTATGGCCCTGCCTTACTAGGTGGGGCCTCACCTATCCCAAGATGGAAGAAGCTAGAGAGAGAGAGAGAGGTCTTTGCAAGAACAAATGGTGGGAATGAGGAGAGTCCCTCTTGGTATAGAGCCTCATGGCCTAGGGTCCGCCAAGGAATCTGTGAGTTAAGGAGAGCATCAAATTTGAGTAATACATTCCTTAGATTAGTTACCATTGTCCCTCAGATCCTTGACCCATATCTACTACTTTGACTAGAACTAGATCTTCCATAATCCCATGAAATATGGACTCTTTCTAACATAGAAAAAACTTTTAATTACCTTAGAAATCAAGAGTCAACGAGAAGATCTAATCAAAAACCAAATATGACAAAACATAACTAGCTAAATCTTTTAAAAGATTATCTTTAATAATTTTATCCATAATAGAACATAAAAAGACATTAGGTGTCCCTACATGTGGCCCCAATGTGCGAACCACCCCCCCCCCCCCAATGTGGTAGCTCTTCTCAATTTAGGAAATATTAGAAAGTACACCTTTAGGGGTTTCTGTGAATAAAATAAATTTTTTTAAATTCTAAAAATCAGTTAAAAATCACAAAATCATAAATAAAGTTGCAAATTAACATTTGCGATATTCCAAAAAATTCTAAAACGCAAATAATATAAAACTAAAAGTGGATTGGTACTAATGGGTTAGGAATGAGCGACATCTCTGAGGCACACCACCCATGCTAGAGTCAGTGATCCATAATCATCTTCTGAAACCAACCCAACAGGACCACGACCCACAATCAATCGCAGGGGCTAATGATTGGTCCATCAAAGCTGACGAATAAATGGCAAAACCACAAAGCTAGTGTGTGGATTATAGGTTTCTCGCTAAGAGCAAGTCATAGATATAAGGATTCACACATGCACATATCACTCCAGTGCAAGGGGGACACTCTCTTATACATATGTACATGGTCCCCTCTCTATGTGGCTGCTTCCCAGAATGCAATTGTCATATTACATGCCATGTGTTGGATGTTGTGGATTTGGACCATGCCTTCACAGGCCTGCAACCACACATAGGAAATCCGATTGGCTTCCTAGCTCTCATCCACATCCCTATGCATCTTTCCGACCTCAACAAGGGATGACCCACTGAAACCCTCAACAGTAGTACCTATGCCCAGAGGTAGGGTTTTGGACATGACCTTGGATTATAGACTGCCAACCTTAAGGTCAGTCAACCAACACCACCTTTAGGGTGTAAACATCCGCTATTAAAATATTTATTTTTACATGATCTTAAGGCCTTGTAAAGGCCACAAGCCCCAAATAAATTGCCTCCCGTAAGCACCAGCTTCTAAAAAAAATATGCTTTATAGTCTCTAGCCATAGATCAGTTTTGCTAGAAAAAGCACAATCATGCACGAAGAGTACATGTATGTTGTATGCTGATAATACAACATTGGTGAGACACATCATTTGAGACAAATGTGAACAAGTTGAATTCTAGCAACAACACAGTAAAGAGTTTTGGGTTCAACTAGATAGCATTAATAACCTTATTCTCATTATAAGATCATTTGTTGTGATTTCTGGTGACATACTTCAATAGCAAGGGACATACGAAGAGTGCAAAATATACTTAGTGTACATTCATAGCACATAGGCAATAAGTCATGATTATATATTTCAACATACCTAAACACAATCACACACTTGGACCCCGTACAGATGCGCATAAATAGAGCCACATAGAGGAGGCATATAGGGATGCTATTTGGTACAAAGATTCATAGGCAATAAGTCATGATTATATATTTCAGCACACCTAAACACAACCAAACACTTGGACCCCGTACAGATGCGCATAAAAAGAGCCACATAGATGCTATTAGGTGCAAAGATTCTCACTCCAGATATATAATCTTGGACCAACTTTAATGCGCGAAATGGAAAATATGGGTGATGGTGTCATTTACTACGAAAGATGTAATGCCTCATTACTGATGAACCTACCTTGGAATATTTGGACATGACTTTGCTAAGTTGCTAAACATAAGGAGGAATGATTGTTTAACATAACTATAGGTTTCAAACTTAAAAGTTGCATTTTCTTCTTGAGAACAACACATTAAACAATTAAGGTTACAAAATCCGGCTCCTTAATGAATGATTTATTATAAATATCAAGTGTACTCTATTAGGGAGATTTGCTCATAGTCCCCTGCCCTTTATTTCATAAATCTTTGATTTGAAGAAAAGTCTTTCTCAGGTAAGCATGAATTAAAGAAAGTAGAGTTTGGCTTCACTTATTTGATGTCCACAATGATGGCGCATGGAGGTCAATGGCTAATAAAAAGTGTCTAAGCTAACTTCTTTCCAATACACGGTCATTGATGAAGTCAATATTCATAAGGAAAAAAACATTTTTCCTTATAAGTTACAGAAAATGCAAACTTACACATATTCACATTATGACCTCCTTTGACAAAGTCAAAGCCACCTAGGACGAAAACCCACCATCTCTAGATTTCCCACATGTTTTAAGCAAACAAATATTATTCTCGCATATTAAGATATCAAATTAGATAAATCTAAAACAGCCCCCTTACTCATAAAGGGAAGGAAATGAATCCAAAAGTTTAAAATCTTTATCCAAAATTTGAAGTCCATTGAATAAAAAAATAATTTATATCAGAGACACATGCAACCAAAATAAAATGACAATTTGATTAATTATTACAAAACATGCTGAACAACAAATGTGATGCAGCCTTGTTATTGTCATCTCCTCATCATTAGAGCCTTTTCCCAACAATTTGGGGTCGGCTAAACGAATCTTGGTCCGCCATCTTGCTGATGTCATCTTCGGCATTTAATTTCTCTTTTATTTATTTACTAATTTATTTTATACTGCTGAAAGATTACCATACATGGGTTACTGTTCACCAGGGTATTTCTGGGAGTTTTATAATTTGTTTAGGGGTGGTGTGGAGCTTTTAAGAATTGTTTGGAATTTATTAATTAGTAAGGGTAGTTTGATGTTTTATAATAATTTACAGTTTAGAGAGCAGTTTTGCTTATTTTATCATTGTAAAGAAACTTTTCTCCATTGAAGCATCTTTAGCTTCGTTTTTTTTTTTTTTTTTTGAAATCAGCATCTTTAGCTTCCATACTACCAAATCTATTGATTTCTAGCCCTATTTCATGTTCGAACTGGTTTGCCTTTAGTTTGTGTTGCATCAATTGATATCAAGAGCATATCAATTGTGGTCGAGGCACCAGAAATAGACCCACGATGGCAGATTTAGAGGTTGTTCTTCAAAGATTCAACACACTGGCTGCCGAGGTGCGCCAGATACGAGACATCACCCTAGAATTGTTTCAGCAAAAGGGTGAAAGCAAAGGTGATGACATTCGTCTCCAGGGCCAACGACTCAGGCCAGATCTGAATTCGAGGATGATTGAAACTCAGAAACCTGGGATCACATCGCTTGCAGGCAAGAAACACTATACCTATCGAGGATCGGTTGGTTAAGGCTCTAAATGAAGTATTAGGGTTGATGTTTGTAATTGCAAAGGGATATATTCAAGCATATGGGTTGGCCTATAATGTAACTTTTACTCTTGTACTAAAAAAGGATGCTATTAGAGTTATCTTACCCTTGCACTAGCCCATGACTAGAAGATTTTAGAGATGGATGTTAAAAATTCATTTCTACATGGGGATTTCAGAAAGTAGTTTACATGAACAGCCAATGGGACATAGTGAAGGAGATCCAAATCCATGGTTAGCAATTTAATCAGGCTCTATGTGGGTTGAAGCAGGCATCACGAACTTCGTCAGATAGCTTCTGTAAGGTAATTAGGAATTATGGTTTTCAGAGAACTCCAGTGGGCCACTCATTATTTTATTTGGCGTAATGGAAAAGATATAATCATTTGATTACTCTACGTAGATGATGTCACAAGCAGCTCATTGACAAAGATGAATCACATTGAAAAGGTTCTCTATGATACATTCCAAATGAAGAATCTGGGAACTCTAAAATACTTCTTGCTTATAGAAGTTGAAAGAAAGAAAGATATGATGATACTTGCGCAGCACAAATATGCTATTGACCCTCGTGGAAAAAAGCATAAATGTTAGATGCAAAACCAGCCTCTACACCTGCCATTTTGAAAAGAAGATTAGGCAGATAGAGAAAGCCTTGGGGTTTTATTTCAAATCCAGAAGAGTACACGTGTACTTGGTGCTTTAACAATATCCCACTCTCACAAGACCCTCCATATCATGTGCGGTGAATCACGTGAGCAAGTATATGCATAGTCCAAGTAGAGACCATTTAGAGGTTGCCATGAGGACATTTGAACAGCTCAATTAAAGGAGGATGCCAATATGCAGTAGGCTCAAATACAACCATATATCACTGGTTAATAAAACTATCATAGAACAATTCAAGAGCATGTAACTGCTTGCCTGGCAGAAGGAGATGAGTTCACTTGTTGCCTTCCCACTAGAAACATCTATCCATTTCATAAACTCTTCCTGCCAAAACTTAAATATCACAACACAGAGTCAACATCATAAACAAAAGCATATCCATTAAAGGTTTGATATTGTATTGTATATTAATGAATTAACTACACCCATTCTCCTAAGAAACTACACTGCAAATCTTATAGGAACACTAAAATGGATTTCTATTAAAAGTAATACACTTGGGTACAATGATGCTTATGAGTATGTATGTTTACAAAACAAAAATAAAGGTACGTGTTTACAAATAAACAGTTACTGATGTTCAAGAACAAGTTGAACAAACAAATTTTATTGAATTCATTTTTTAATGTCCCATGGGAATATTTCCAGCAAATGCCATAGAAGTCCAACAATAGCAGCAAAGTAGTGCCAGCATAAGAAAGAAAACATGTAATTGACATTCTAAAACCGCAGCAAATAGAAATCCAAGTGTGCATTTGAAATGAGACAGACTGAAGGGAAGCAAGAAGCATCTCAATGCAAAACATTCCCAGCAAACTGGATGAAGTTTCAATAAAAAGAATAACAACAAACTTTTAAACCTTCCCTCCAGAAACTAACAGAAAAAGAAAAACTTATGTTCCACTTCCATATGCCTAGTGTCTCATTCGGATATGCACAAACACAGAACTTCTTATGAAGAGTCCCCGGAAAGTGGACGAAGTTATAAACATGCATATTCATCATTCTCCTAAGTTTAATAGCATACATACAAATATCAGGTCTTGTGATCAACTTTCAACTGAAGCAAGACGAATCAGGCAATGAAACAATCGTCTTGAGACTGGGTTACCTAAATTAAGTATTGAGATTAAGTATTTAGGTTACCTAAATTAATGTTACCGGGAAGAAAACCATCCTTCAACAAATAATGAAAAGGTACATCCACGAACATGGATCCAGAAGCAAAGAGGGAGAGTAGCAGCGAAGGCCAGGGTCCTAGGAGAGAGAATGGGTTTTCCATTTTTGAATGCTAGACCTTTGGATAGGGCAGCAGCTTGACAAAGCTCACTGGAGGGGAAGGAAACTAGATGATGGCCATCGTGCAGTGTGTAACAGGTAATGAACCTGGATTTCTAGATTAAGTAGGCCCATTTCTGGGTACCCTTTCAATATTGTCTTGGCAGGGAGAATCTGGCGAAGGGGGATGTTGGGTGATTGGAATTGTTAATGAGATTAAATGCTCTGGAGCTGATGGGTTGTAATGAGCAGGGTGAGGAGGAGCATTCAGAGGTTTGGGGTGTGGGGTACCTACGTTGACAGAATGCGTAAGTCCACACGAGGAGAAGCCAAAAGGCATATGTTCTCCCCCAAAAAAGGGGGGAATAATGAGAGGAAGAGATTATTAAAGGAAGGCAGGCAGAGATACAAGGCTGAAGCGGAGGAGGCAGTCAATAAGGCTTGAGGGAAGCAACAGAGACGACAGGCAATCCCTTGGCCAGCAAGAGTTTTCAGCTACAGCATAACATTACGATTCAGTTTCTTGTAAGATGATTTCCACAATGATTGTCATCTTTCAGGTTCCCGGAGTTCCATGCAGCAAAAACTAGTTCTTACATGAGTTCTTTGATTGGATTAAAACACAACAGAAAAACAAAACAACAAACTCAATTATACCAGTCCAAAGATTATCCCCATTTTGGGATTTTCAGTTATATCAAAATTCAGAGAGGGGTTTCAAACAAATCTAAACTTTATTTGGTCGAACCTTTACAGAAAGCTAGGATTCAAGACAGCATTGATGCAAAGACAGGGAGGGGCTATCTCATGCTCCCTAATGCCCTTATGTTGCCCCAAGGAAACACACAGTGGGGAGTCTCATTGGAAGATGAAAGATTTAGATAGGGTCTTTTGAAACGAAGGAACGAAGTAAACTACCTAGAACAAAGTAACTCATTCTCGATTTTATTTGAAGGGTCAAATACCCAAAAAAACGTTATCATAAATATATTATTTAATAGTAGGAGAGAGTGATTGAGCAACGACTAAGACATGAAACACGTATATCAAAAATTTAGTTCGGTTTTACGTCAGGGAGGTCAACCACTGAAGCTATTTTCCTACTTAGGCGATTGATTGAGAAGTTTAAGAAGAAAAGAAACTACACCCACATGGCCTTTGTTGATTTTAAAAAGGCATATGATAGGGTACCTAGCGAGAGAATTTGGTGGGTGCTGGAAAAAAAAAGTCTCATGAGGAAACATTGACATGCTGAGGGATAATGTATAAGGGACACTAAAAAATGTGAGGACAACTAGTGGAGAAACAAGCGAGTTTTCAGTGACAGTAGTAGGCCTACAACATGAGTCAGCAGTGAGCCATATCTCTCTACTTTGGTGATGGATGAGTCAACTAGGCATCAAGACGATGAGGTCCCATGATATATACTTTTTGCAGTTGACATAGTTTTGATTGATGAGACTAGAGACATTCGAAATTAAAGTAGAGAAGAAAACAATTTGGTAGGATCTTAAGAAAGTGAGGAAAAAAAATAAAGATTATGAAGGAGAGAGAGAGAGAGAGAGAGACATGTGAGAGATAAAGAGATAGAGAGGGAAATTGATTGGCTTAGGGAACACTTGTGACCTCTTCACCTCTTATAACATCAAGTAATAACCCTTATTACAATTTATGGATAATATTGCCCTTACCTAGAGACATAAGACAAATAAGGACTAAACCAAAGATAAATGATAGTTTTATCCATCAAATACAATAAATCTTATTCTTTTTATTTCCAACACTCCCCCTCAATGTGGTCCATAGATATTACACATGCCCAGCTTGCTTGTGATATCATGTAATTTGTTCCATCTTATGGCTTTGGTGAAGATATCTACAAGTTGATCTATAGACTTCACATGAGGAATCTGAATGATCATGGAAGCAACCTTCTCTCTGATAAAGTGACAATCTACTTTAATGTGTTTAGTCCTTTCGTGAAGAACAAGATTTCTGCGATATGAATGGTTGCTTCATTGTTACAATATAGAGTCATGAGACGCTTAACTCTAACACTCAAATAAAAAAGAACGCTTTTGATCCACATTTTTTCGCATGTACCATGAGTCATTGTTTTGTATTCTGCTCCAGCACTTGATCTTGCCACCACATTTCGCTTCTTGCTTTTCCAAGTAACCAACTTTTCCAAAACAAAGGTCTAATGGCCAGTTGTGGATCTTCTATTAGTTTGTCAACCAACCCAATCCGCATCTCTATAAACTACAACATGTTCTTGATTTGATTCAAATATCCCTTTCCTTGGTGCAGACTTGAGATAACTCAATATTCTATACGCAACATTGAGGTGGGGTTTATGCCATGTACGCATAAATTGTCCGACCACGCTAACCGCATAAGAAATGTATGGTCACGTAATTGTGAGCTATACAAGCTTGCCCATTATTCATTAATATTGATTAGAATCTTTGAGTAGCGCTCCCCTTTCTCTATGAAGTTTATGATGGACTTCTATAGGACTATCAGCAGATCTAGATCTCAACATCATCGTTTGTTGTAACAAGTCCAACATATTTTCTCTGGGAGATAACTACTCCTTTCTCTGATCTTGCCACTTCAACTCTCAAAAAATACTTAAGGGGTCCTAAACCTTTGATATCAAACATAATGCTTAAATAAGATTTAAGGTCCTCAATGCCCTTCACATTATCCCATGCCACAATAATATCATCAATATACACTATAAGGACAGTAATTCCTGCAGTATCCTTCTTCACAAAAAGTGTATGATCAGCTTGACTCCTTTTGATCACAAATTTCAACAGTGCCTCAATGAATTTTTTAAACCATGCTCTAGGAGACTCTTTAAATTCATATATTTCCTTCTTTAACTTGCAAACCTTTCCTGTCTCCCCCTTAATCTAAAAACCAGGAGGCATGGCCATATAAATTTCTTCTTGGATGTTTCCATGTAAAAATATATACTTAACATATAGCTAATGAAGTGGCCACGATTTATTCATAGTTAGTGAAAGAATGATCCTCACAGTGTTCAACTAGGTCACAGGCACGAAAGTGTCTTGGTAGTCTATGTCAGGAGTCTGGGTGAAACCTTTTGCAACCAATCTTCCGTAGTACCATCCATTTTGTATTTTACGGTGAATATCCATCGACATCCTACAACCTTTTTCCCTTCAGGAAGGTTAGTGAATTCCCATGTATTATTCCGCTCAAGTGGTCATATCTCAGGACATATGCAGCTTTCCATTGAGGTTGTGAAAGTGCTTCTACAACACTGGAAGGTATTTTAACAAAAGACAAAGCAGATATTAAGGCATGATGAGAGGGATTCACAAAATTGTAGGATATGAAGTTTCCTATTGGATGTTGATTGTAAGAACGTGTACCCTTGTAGACAACAATAGGTAAGTCCAAATTAGGATTCTCAAAGAGGTTGAAAGAGTTACCTGGGTCAGCAACAATTTCTGATTTCGGGTTAGCATTAGAGGTATGGTCTCTTTGAACTTCGGGTTGTACCATTTTCTTCCTCCTGGTATACTTCAACTCCTTTGAATGTGTACCATTCCTTTCAGATAAACCACTCTCTTCAGATAAAAGTGGTGTGGGAATAGAAAGAGGAACAACCGATGTGTACTCTTCACTAAACTGTATGTTATTCTCCCCTTGAAGAGAACACTCATGACCTATAGAGAAGAAGTATAGAACAAATTCAAGGAAAGTGACATCCATGGAGACATAGCAGATCGTGGTACTATAATCATAACACCTGTACCCCTTTTGATGAGATGGATATCCCCAAATAAAATACATTTGGTTGCTTTAGCATCAAGCTTGCCCCTCTTTCGACCAAGGATGTGGTCAAAACATACACAACCAAACACCTTGGGAGATACAAGGAACATGGATGAGTTGGTATGAACACTTTCATCTGGTGATTTTCCCTCAAGAACACAAAAGGGTATGCGATTTATTAAAAAAGCAGCAGCAAGAACTGCTCCAAACTGAAAAAGTTTTAGAACATCCTCAGTAACAAAGCTTGAGTGACTTCGAACAGGTGTTTGTTTTTTCTCTCAGCTATATCAATCCGTTGAGGTATGTATGGACATGTTGTTTTGAACTCAATCCCTTCATAAAGAAGATAACCTTTGAGTTTGTTTAAGACATATTCACCCCCATTGTCAAACCGCAAGACTTTAATTTGTGCATCATATTGAGTTTTAACCATTTTGTGATAGGCTTCGAACAGATTAGCAACCTCATCTCTGTGTTTCATTAGATAGACAGTTGTAAGTCAAGAAAAATCATCCAAATGTAACAAAGAAACGAAATCCAAACACAAATGCAACTGGTCAAGGACCCCACGCATCAAACTGTATAAGAGAGAAAGGAACATCACTCTTTCTATTGATACTGATAGGAAATGAAGTTCTACAATGTTTTGACAATGCACAAATGTCACATTGCAATTGAACTTGACTCAGAGACTCAAACAATTTAGGAACTAAAGGATGCAAAGTAAAAGATGATGCATGAACAAGTCGGGTGTTCCACAAATACACCCTTTCTTTATTAGTAATTGAAGATGTGACTGCTACAGTCAAGACACGATCACGAGTCTCCAAAAAGTACAACCCTCCATTTTCACGACCATGCAAAAATGTCTTCCCCGTCATGAAGTCCTGCAATACACAGTGAGAAGGGAAAAAGGTTATATTGCAGTTTAGGGTCGTTGTGACATTACTAACAAGAGCAACATGCAAGGTTCTCTTTCCCTTGGTTGGAATACGAGAACCATCTGCTATTTTAACTGATTCATGACTAGAACATGGGATATAAGAGAAAAACATTAGCCATACCAGTCATATGTTCAGTTGCTCCATAATCAATAATCCAAGGGGTTTCAGAGCCATTTACAGAGATATGATGTGCCAAAGCAGATATACCTGATTGTGCAATGTGAGACTTAAAGGAGGAAGAAGGGTCTCGAATGGAAGCCTGTTGCTTGAGCTCCAAGAACTCTCTCTTAGGAATAATCACGAACTTTTATTGAGGTTCAAACGAGATGGTATCTTGCTGCCCTTGAGTAACTGGTGCCAAACTTTCACTGATTGTTGCTGAAATTTCCCTTCGAAAATTTCGCCTTGGGCATCCAACCAAATCCCAACATGTTTCCCTGTGTGACACGTCTTCCCACAATCCGTGCACTTTAATTTATCCTTCTCGTCAGATGTGGGATTCCACAACCACATCCACCACCTCGGCCTCCACCAAGGCTCCTAAAACATCCTCCACCTTGATTACCACTAAAACTTGTGAATAGGAGAGATCATTCACTGTGAATAAGGGAGATCTTTCTGCATATTTAGAATCCTTCAAGTCAGGTTTTTCCACACGGCCATAAATGTATCCTAGTTTTTTCTTTCCACCAAAAAACAACCTGGCCCATTCTAAACAGTTCCATCAAATCTGACTGCGGTGATTTGTGGTCCAGATGCCTCCATATTTGATACCTTAAGAGACATTCTCTATTGTAGTTAAAATCTAGTTACACCATCAGATCTTAATCAACAATAGAGATCAAGTTACACTTTTTGATCCCTTCAAATAAAAGGTTTTACAGAACTGATTACAACTACAGATCTAATCACGCTCCCTTTTTTTCAAGAAAAAAAAAAAAACACTAACAATACTTCTTTGATTGAGGCATATAAACCCTAATCCATCCAACAACTAAGTTTTCAAATAAATACTTGATCGGCATTCAAAATCATAAAAATAATCACCTCCATTGGCAAAAATACTGTTAATACAAAGCTAGGGTTTACGGAGTGATCACTTTATCTAACCCACAATATGATGTCAGCTCTAAACACAGTTCTTGCGCAACTTTTTGAAGATTGACCTACACTACAATACCGTGCTACAGTACCATCCTTTCTGATCGGTTGGCTCTAATACCAAGTTCAAATTAAAGTAGAGAAACAAACAGTTTGGTAGGATCTAGAGAGAGAAAAAGAGGAAAGAAAATAAAGATGATGAAGAAGAAGGGAGAGAGAAAGAGAGAGTGAGAGAGAGATGTGTGAGAGATAGAGAAGAGAGGGAAAGTGTGTGGCTTAGGGGTCGCTTGTGACCTCTACCCCACTTATAAAATTAAATAATTACCCTAATTACAACTTATGGAAAATATTGCCCTTTATTTAGGGGCATAAGACATATTAGGACTAAACAAAAGATAAATGATAGCTTTGTCAATCAAATACAACAAAGCTTATTCCTTTTATTTCAATCGAGATAGCGTAAACGCAAAGTTAGAACTTTGAAGGGATGCTTTAGAATCTAAATGTTTCAAAATTAGTCAGACTAAGACCGAATATATAGAATGTAATTTCAGTAATAATAGGAGCAGAAAATGATGAATTAGTTAAGATTAATAGCTATAAATTACCTAAAAAATTTTATTTCCGATATCTTGGGTCAAAAATCCATGAGAAACAAGAAATTGAGAAAGATATTGCTCATAGGATTACAGCTGAGTGGACGAATTGGAGATGTGCTACTAGAGTCTTATGCGGCCATCGCATACGAATGAAACTAAAGGGGAAATTTTCTATGATAGTTGTAAGCCTACCCATGCTTTATGGGATGGAATATTGGGCAATCAAGAAATAACATATCTATAGAATGAGTATAGCTGAGACGATAATGTTGAGATCGATGAATGGCAAGACAACTAAGGATAGAAATCATAATGAATATATTCAAGGGAACTTATGAATGATTATATTCAAGGCAACTTATAGATAGCTAGGCAATAAAACGACGGAAAGTAGACTTGGGTAGTATGTTCATGTGCAGTATTGACTTAAAACAATATCGGTTAGGAGAGGTGATTGGGTTCAAATGGAAAGCTCTAAAAGGGCAAGGGGAAGACTGCAAAGGTCATGGATAGAAGTAACGAGAAAATATATGGTGACTTGTGTTCTGATTGAAGGTCTGCCATTTGATAGAGCAAAATGGTAGAGCAGAACTCGTGTAAAATAGTTGGGATAATGTTTGGATGATAATGATGATGATAGGATTATTTAATAGATTCTTATGGAAAAACATTAATTACAGATCTTGGTTTTCATCAGCAAAAATGAAAATAAGAAACTAATATTGGAAATTTGACAAAATTTAGAGGGATATTTACAATGTTACAACAAGGTAAAAGAAAATGATCACCTTCAAAGTTTCAAATGTTTTTAAGAAATAAAAGGCACACCTAGTTGGTTGCATAGTTTTATGGGAGTTTTGTAGAAAATTCTCCTCAAACGGCACATCATTTTCTTTATGAACTTTGTAACTAGTTACTCCCAAGTTAGTACCCACTTTTTCTTTTCTTTTCTTTTTTTTTCTACTTCAGCTCACTGGCTGTACTGTCTCTTACCTATGATATGCCATTTGAGTACAGGAAATCCATATTTCACTAAATTCTCAGACTACTATAAAACATTTTCTCTGAATCTACACAACATTCAATGACTCTCATCAATCCTCACGTCAGGAGACGACAAATCATCCAGAAAACAATGCTATTATGTATAGAGCTCCAATTACAACAGCTCGAACTAAAGGTCAACAAGAACATTTTGTAGGTGTCTACTGATTCTCGACAATCTCAGTTGCTTTCAAATCTTTCTGCTCATTAACAGGCATACCTCTGGCATGTTATTATCACTAACTGCGAGATTGTAAAACTCTGTGTATGGAATCAAATGTGACACTTTATTGGCCTCATTTAATATTGACAAGACCTGTCCATGAACAATCAACAAATCAAGGTCAGCAGTGAAAAATGTAAAATACATTTTGCATTTAAAGAACAACCTTTACTGCTGCAACTACATCCCCTGACATTCCTCCCTGTGTACTCAACAAATGCTTCCTACAAGAGAACAAAAACCAACGCCTTAAATCAATATGCCCCAAAAGGATTCAAAATAACAATCTCATAAAGGAAATTACCAAATATTAGGGTACCTCAGGTCAGTAGGTTACCTGCTAGAGATATATTTCTGCACACCACGAACAAGTCGTCCTCCAAGAACTTCTTTTGGGTAAGTTTTAAACCACTGGACCATTGTCTGCACCAAGTGTCAAAAAGAATAGATCACACAAAATACCTCAGTCATAATAGATTATTTTGATGGTAAAGATAACTGAAAAATAAAAATAAAAAATGCAACCATAGAAGAGAAAAGGGCACAGAAAACAAATCCCCAGGTAAATTAGTGATAAGCAAACTAGCTGAAGAAAAATCCATCCATAATGAGTCCCTACCATTTGATTCCCTTGCCCCAAAAATACTCCACCCGAAAACAGAGTCAAACCATGCATATAAATCAGAAATGAAAAACTGCAAATCACATGAATTATTTAAGAACAAAATTCCGATCAGTGCATATAGGATCAAGGTAAAAGACATGGAATCTACATGAATGATAAAGTGCAACTGAACAGCCAAGTGAAACACCCAACGGGAACCCCCTAGCCATAATGCATCCAGAGTACAATATATTGCACTTACCCAACTTTCCATTTCTTAAAGCACCACAGCTTGACCCATGAAGCTTACCTTGCTCGCCCCATGAAGCTTACCTTGCTCGCAATGCAGAGTGAGAAATCAGTCATTGTTTAACATTGCATCACGATGATAAAGCCTGGCCAACGTCCGTCAGAGAAGTCACCTAGTCAACGTAAAAGTTGAGGAGCATACCCCAAGTACTTTTGGAAAATCAAGGCTGAGGTTAGGGTACATCCGCAAACTCTTGTGGCCCTTCTAATATCCATCTCGGAGATGGATTCACAATCCAAAACTTGATGAATCTATCATTTGGAGCTCCAAACTCATGGATCCCAGGCGGAAATAGTTTTGGAATGTCTTTTCAGTCCTAAATCAGGTGGAAAACCAGGGAGGCGTCCATGGACACATGATACACTTTTCCTTAATTCAATTAACACACAAATTCACAAAGAAAAAAAGGATGAGAAGTATTGATAAGTGACTGACATACAGTTGCAATTTGAAAAAAAGAAGCCATCATACAGCAATTTGATGGGAGTGACAATACAAACTATGACTGCCTTAGATTGATAGAGGTTGTCCTTCAATTGCATCTAGGGCAAAACAAGCTATCATATAGCAACAGTTGCAGGCCCAAAGGCTGATGAGCAAACCCAGAAGGTTCATGACACCACTGTGGTCCGATTACTCGCGTATAAAACCAGGTCCAAAACGTGTAGACCGGCAAGCAGGACAACCACAATAAAAAATAGGACAGGGGCAAAGTTTAAACTCAAATATTACGGCAAGAAGAGCAGATGGGAGATGCATGTTATACCATACATCCTGCTTCAAGGAAAAAAGGTAACCAGTGTAAGGACGAAAGAATCGTCTAGACCTCAAAACAAGGAAGAACCAGGAGAGTACGACGTCAAGTGGCAGCTAAAACCAATATTTAACTCGCATCAAGAGAAGCACCATTCTGAAAGACAATCCAACTATTAAGGATGAAAAAAAAAATACAGCCCACTACTTTTAATAAAAATTTGAGAAAAGAACCATGATATTCCATGCATATCACAGGAAAAATGTGTACCTAGTGTACTCAAACCATGTGATGTGACACTGGAATTACGATAATTCAGTGTCATAGCAGGCCCATAAGACATTATTATGTTAGACATAAAGAATCAAAGTCTATGCCCAATAATCTTCAAACAAAATCAAGCAAAGAGAATCTTATCCTTCTAGCTCCTTGAGCACTTTTTTCCACTCCAAAACCACACTTTCATAGGTCATAGCAACAGTTAATTGAGATGTGGGAACTCTTCGAAGTGATCTTTATCCAGTATGGCGTCAATGTGTAGCCATCTACATTTAGAAACTGTAGTCATATTATGTCGAACTAAGCTTGTACAAAATTCTATCAAGAATGGTTACTCAAACACATCAGCATGTATGTGGAAAGGGAGAGGAAAAAAGGCTATAGATAAAAGTTTCCATCAAGAATCATCTTGGAATTGCAAAGGAACATTTCTAATATACACAATAAATGTTACTCCAAAACGAAGATCATGTGAAGAGGTATCAAGGCATAGTTAATGGTGGCCTAAGCAAAATTAACCCTTTTATATAACAGCATCACAAGGCCTAGTATAACATTGTTGTTGATCAAGACTAATGCTAGACAACATCAAAGAACAATATTGCACACAACTTACACTTCGTACAGAAGGCGATATTCGTTCAAAAATGGTAAATAATTTGGTAGAGAGTGCATCCCCGGGACTGCAATAAGGAGAAGAACAGTCTAGCCATTATTTCAGTCATAGCTTTAGTATTTTATGCTTAAACATTACAAACCATTAGTACTTGAAATACATATGATTGATGGCAAAATTATTCGTATTTTAAATTTTTATTCAATTTCAAAGGATGTTTGTAATAGTTTTAGTTTTTGGGCTTATTTCTAGGGTTTTTTAATTTTTAAAGGATCCTAGGGTTTTTACAATTTAGGTGTGGTTTGTATAAAGCTGAGGCCCTAAACAATCAAAGTAAGGCGCACCTTCAAATAGTGTAGAAAGATGTCCTTTGAGGACTGAAAATCTTTATGGTGGCCTAAAAATCTATTTTCATCTCTAATTATAAAATTTAATGCTTCAATGATAATGTAGATCAAGCAGATCTATGAACACTCAAAAATCTAAAAAATCGACGCTCTAGATAATGCATTACAAAATAAACTATTTCCAAGATTTGAAGTCTTTCTTTTTTTTTTATGTTCATGTATCTCAAGGTCAAGATGATGGCATGAATTTATGAAGTGCGCCTTAATTTGATTATTCAAGTCATACACGTTTTTGCTTATTTTTTTATTTAACTCATGATTATTATTCACAATTATTGTTCACAAGTATTGTTCATGGGTACTATTCACAGGGGTAAAACTGTCGTTACGAACCATATAAACAAACCCTAAAACTAAAACTATAATATACATCCTTCAAAATTAAAAAAATTAAGAATAATTTTGCCCTCCATCAACACATCATGTAAATGCACTGCTAAAGCATGTGAAAACACATACATAATACATGTAATGAAACCATGCAATGAATGAAATTCATCAAAGTAATAAAAGAACGATTATTTACAAACAATTATTAACTATTTTAATCGGCATCTGTGCAAGACAAAAAGGTCAATAAAAAGTCAAGAGAGCCGTTATAATGCTGCTTAGGCAATACTCCATGTAAGATGGTGGGCAATCTAGCCATTAATCATTTCCAAGATTTTCAAGAAAGCAAACCAAACTTGCCACACAGACATAAGTATCAAGCATCAATAGTTTTCTCATTTTAGAAGTAGCACCAAAAAAAAAAAAAACCAAAAAGACAATGATCCCCGAATGGCTCCAATAGCTATGGTTTTAATGTTCCTCAACAACACAAAACATATGACAGCATAGCTATCAAACTTCTGAAACCAAGGATTGGTAGATGCACCAAAGACCAAACTCCTAGCTACTTGAAAATGGAATATTCCCAAGTAATCATTCGTGTAAATGGAAGCCCTAGTAGAAATTACAATCTCAATGCTTAGTAAGCATTCCGTCATTTCATGGTGATGTGGCATATGACGGGAACCGGATGAAGGTTGATCAAACATCCACAAAACATGAACATTTAAAGCAACTTTCAGTGAGCATAGATCCACCAAGTATAAATCTTCCACTACACTTGAGAATTCTATACTACCACACAAGCCTTCAATGTTCATCAATTCATACATCAACAAGTAGGGAAGTATAGGCATACCAAAAGACTTGGAAGCATCTAGCTACATTTTCAAGTTCCCGCATGTACATGCATTTTAGATTCACATGATACATTCAATGTATGAGTTCCACCCTGAGACTCACCTCAAAGGGTTCCTGATAAGAATATTACAACATCCCTTACAGAACATACCAGTACAAATATGTCAAACATCAGTTACAATTCAGACCTTCTACTCTAGTTCCTTAGAATTATTTAGGAAACATCAAATGGCACTATTGCGGTTTTGTGGCCTATAAAGGTCGTAAGAGTATGTGAATAAGAAACATAGTGGATTATACACTTTAGTGAGAGTGTCTGTATTAGGTGACAAACCTAAGGTTTGGCAATCTATGGCCCTGGTCATATCAAACACCCTTACCCCTGGTCATATGGAACTACTGAAAAGGGTTTTCATAGAATCACCCCCTATTGAGGTTGGCAAGATGCCCAATGATGGCTTGTGGGCAAGGAAAACCCCATGGTCTCCTGTGTGCAAATGTAGGCATGTGAGAGCACAGGCTAAATCCTCAACAAGCTTCCAGTATTTACACATGATAGCCGCATTACTGGGAAACAACCGTGGAAAGCGATACATATATATATGCCTAGAAAGAGCCCCTTTGTAATATAGTGATATGTGCATGTTACTTACTCTTAAGCGGCAGAACTTGTAGTTCTACTATTTAGTAGTCAGCTTTTATGAGCCAATCTTGAGCCCCTACATGAGACTATGGGTTATGGGTCTCGTTGAGTTGGTTTGAGAAGATAGTCAAGGATCACGATTACTGGGTTGTGTGGAGTGTCGTATTAGTTACTTCTCTTGATCCATTGGTACCAGCCCAATTCTAGATATTTTGTTTTCAATGTAACATTTTCTATGAATTTTTTTGAAAAAAATATAATTTTTTAAATTAATTTCAGCTGTAAAATCCTCAAAAAGAACATTTCTGAAATTTTGGTTGTGCGGAGGAGCACATGTGTGGCCCTTGGATCCAGCCCCACGTGTGTGCCACACCACATGGGTGGGTGTGGGCTCCACACCTTACACATGGAGGTGGCACACCACCCCATAAAATTTAGTTTTGTTTTAAATTTTAAAAAGTGTTTTATTTTGGTTAATTAAGGATATCTTTTAGAAGCAAAATTATGTCCTTATTTTGTGGGAGTTAGTTTTTGAATTCCTACAATCTTGAGAGATAAGGAAGTTATAGAAGATTATTTTAGATTGGTCTTATCCTAGTTCGACTAGAAGTGGATATGGGTCAAAAATTTGAAAAATAAGGTTCCTAGATTTTCGTCCTAAGGGTATGTTTGACAAAAAAGGATCTGAATATTCACATTTTTAGAAATCTAAATAAAGGCATTGCCTTCTTTTTCATATATTCATATATTATCCTGATAAGTGTCTTTTCGTGCATGTTTAACTATCTAACCAAGATCCTTCCAGCTAATCATTATTTTGCAAGGAAAATTTGTTGTCATTCTTAACACCGTAAAATGTCCCATTTTTTGGAAGACTTCAACCTAAGGCTCTTTGAACAAAGGGCTTGATGATAACATGAACCCTTTGTAGAAAAAAGAGAATTATCAATCTTGTCTTCTTCTCTATGAAGTCGAGAATGGTCCTCACGTTGCTCTGTCAGAAATCCCGTCAAGTCATCTTTCCTGAGTTCTATATCACCAGATTCTAGTCTCTAGAGAGAATTTGGTAATATGGGTTGAATCATTAGAATCAAAATGCACCCAAAAAGAAATAAAAACAAAAATTTAGGCACCATTGAAATTAGACCAAGTAATGGAAACTGTTCCAAAAAGAAAAAGAGCACTCCCTTGAATTCCATATACCCACTTCTTTCATCAATCCACTTGCTTATTAGCAACATCAGAAGTATCGGCCCACTTGTACACACAGATACAAATCCTTTCACTATTATTGACAGTTATAAGCTTAATCTAGTTCTGTGAAGTTTATTGACACATTGCCAAGGCCATGATAAAATCTTTAAGGATCATCACAGCATGAAAGCACAACATGAATGCTTATCTTAACTGAAACTATTGAAAAAAATAATCTCTTCACCCACTCCTTCAATGTGCTTCCAGGAAATTCCAGGGGATGCTACGTAACTATGACAACAAGAGGCTCTCCAGTCCCCATCCCAGGCCCCTACACCATGTGGGCGTAGGTAAATGTAGTATCCTACAGCATGGTCTAAGAGCATTATTCTGTGGGAACATCAAGTGGTTTATGGTAACATCTAATGCTTCCTGTATAAATGAACCAACATTGAACTCCATAATTAAACCTAATCATAACGTCAAAAGAAACGACATTAAACCTTATGAAACGGAAGCAACATAGCGAGAAAATTACTTCATGAGCAAGAAACATGAATTAATAGTTCCTCCATCCCTACTGTGAACATATTTGGTTGATGCTAGGTATCCTCTCAGTGTCAAATTGCCAGAGCATGTTAATAGTACTTCAAAGCTCTGTTTAATGCCAGAGGTTGTAGTCAAGCACATGAAATTCCTCCACATTAATAAGTTTGATCCTCATCATCACAACAGCTATTGCATGCCGCTCTCCCGGGCCACTCATTTAAATCGATGCTAATGGTGCATCCTCAGGTATGCTTTCCCATAAGTATCATTCATGCAACCAAAACATGCATACGACGACCTAATAGTATTATGGCATGCTTGATTTCACGAGGCCAATAGCTAATAGCATTGCTTCTTCTAATATTTCTTATACAGTCTTACTAGGACATTTTAACATAGTATCAATGTATTAAGAACGATCTTCAAAATATTTCATGAGGTAGACAATGGACCTCTTTCCTATTCCATGGCATTGAAATTTCCCAGCATTCCTCACTTAGAATTTGGACCAACAATCAAAATCAACTCATGACAGGTCACCAGTCAGAAAAGTTAAAAACATAAAAAACATAAACTAAGTCAGAGAAATGACACGAATGTTGGAAAAACTCTGAAGTCAGAGACCTCAAAATTGCCAAGTTTTTCCTGAAATGATTCCAGAGCTAGTAAACTCGACTTGGCCACAGCAGAAGTTTGAGTCAACTGGACCTGGCCTTTACACAATGCTTGTCCCCAACATAAACAAGCCATAGACATACACATTCAGTTAAACATGATGTGTGTAACCATTTTTTGTATACTTATTTGGAGCATCTAGCTGAAGCACAAACGTGTGCAAATTTGGGGCCCATCAGACCCCCAACTTTTATCATAAAAAAAGATATTCCAACAGCAACATTGGCCATTGATTTCAAAAGACTTTAATCTGGGCTGTGGAGCTTAAACTATTTCATTTGCTCAAGGGCTAACAAGGGCCGGATTTCTTTTTTTGTCATTTTTTTTACAATTTTTTGAGGAAAGGGCCAATAATCTAGTGCAATGGTCTCTCCACAAAA